GCGTTCTCTACCCCTGTGTGCGCTGCGGCAGAACCATCGCCCTTAGCGCCTTCAAGTTGAATCCTTGTCCGAAACAAACTGGACAAAAGGTTTCCCAACTTGCTTTCCAAACAGCCTTTTACGGCAGTGCCGAAGCCAAGAAGTAGCAGAAGGCTAAGAAAGCTGCTCCTTCTCAGTCTGCTGAAGCTGGTCGCAAGTACTTGCGCGCCGTCAAGAAGTTTAAAGTGAACAAATGCCTGACAGAGTGACTAGCTCCCCGCCTTCCTCGTCAAGAGGCTTCCGTGGACCCTTTGCTGTGTATAGTGGAGCTTGCACAAATGCCCCCCCTCAAGGTCATGTCCATCAATTGCACTCTGCTTACTAGCGCTCGCTTGACTTGTATCCTGAACCAAGCTTCTCTTTGGAAGGTTCACGTCATCTGCCTGCAAGAAACGCGCTACCCGCCCGGTGGCTCTCCGTTCGCCAGTCGCATGTGCGCTGCCGAAGGCTGGTGCGTGCAGCGGTCCCAAGCCACTCCTATGGATGCCACCAGGCGCCGCCGGGCTGGTGGCACAGCCATTCTTTGGTTTAAGGGGCTTGGTCGCGGTCATGCCATCGATCTTGCCGACGCGTGTGTGCGCCAATAGTTGCCCTTTTGGCACCGCAATCGCTTCTGTTTATGTCCCGGCAGGTCGTCCCGGCCTGCCGTGGTTCACTATAGTACTTTGGAACGCTTTGAAGGCCTCCGCTCTTCGGTGCTCGTTGGTGACTTTAACTGGCGTCTTGCTTATCAAAGTTTAGCCGTCTGTTTGGACTTGCCTAAGCACTTTCCTACTACCGTGGTGTAGGACACCGTTTGGTGTCCTACAGGCGTGCGTCTCCGAAGGCGCCCCGTGGAGTTACTCCTTTGCCTGGCGTTCCGCCCCATGCTGCTACCTTGTGGGAGGTGCAGTCGGTTTTTGTTTGCCCGTAATTCCTGCCCGCTCCTCCGGTGCGCGCAGTACACTCCATTGCGTGACCCCACGCTGCAAGAGCTTGAAAGGTTTGAAGCATTGAAGCCTGCTCAACGATAGCTCTTTGGAGGACGTGCTCGGCTGAACGGTGTAAGGGTGCTCCTGTTACTACTCGTCCTGCTTTTCCTGAACCCTTGGTTTCCAGAAACGAACCTGTCGATCACCTTTCGCAGACTTCGGCGCTTGCGCAGAGCTGTCACTGCTGTACAAGAACTCCGCTGGAGTGCCGCTTTCCGTGACAAGCTTTTTCCTGGTTGTGCCTCTTGGCCTCCCGACCAAGCTGCGGCGCTCGCTTTGTCCAGTGTTTGGATGTTCGGGCCATTTCAGCCGCTAAAGCCGCCCTTAAACCAAACCCTTCCCCTGGTGCCCAAACTGCCCAGACCTTTGCAAGCGTGAAACCTTTGTTTTGCACGCCTGACCCCTCTACGGCCGGGTTTGGTGAAGCTTGGGTCTCTTTCGCCCGCCGTTCTAGGTTGGCTCCTCGTGAGCCTGCTGCGGACGCTCCTGAGCCTCAGGACTTCCCTGATGCTGTTAGCAAGGGGCGGGGGGCCCCTGGCCTTGACGGCTGGACTCAGGTTGCAGGAGCTCTTTGCATCCTTCGCGACGCCACCTTTTGGTTCTCAGTCCCTTTCTGGTCCGACCTGGCTGACGTTGTTGTCTTTGAGACGCGGTTCCCAAGCGTGACGCCGATGAATATCGGCCGGTGGTCGTTGGATCCACCATCCTCCGGGTTTGGCAAAAGACTCTCCGGGATTGACTCTCTCATCGGGGTCTTTTCGGTGCCGAAATCGATCTGGCTAAGGCTTTTCGACATCGTCTCGTGGACCGCCGCGTCTGCGTCGATACATTACCAGGCTTTTTCGCCTGCAATCATTCGAGTCCTGTCTCATGTGTGGAGCGGCCCTCGTTTCTGCTCCTTGCGTGGCACTGTTTCGCGGCATTCCGCCTTGTAACCCGTTGTCCCCATGCATCCTTGCTCTCAGGTTCTCACGCCTTGGCATGCACTTATCCAACGTGAATTGCCCGACGTTTTGCACTGGGCCTTCATTGATGATCGTTCCTTGCGTGCCCGCAACAAAGTTGCCTTGGAGCGTGTACTTCGCCTTACAAAGTCCTTTCATGTTGCTGTGGGGCTCAAGCACCATCTTAAAAGGTGCCTTCCATGCGGCATTTTTGGGCCGACTGCCCTAGATTCCAAAGCGCGCGTGTGAATTTCATGCATGAGTATAGTCTTGACGCTGCTTGGTTTGGCCAGCAGCCCCGATGCACTGCTAAGACGGGCTTCATCACTCTTCAGGCTTCGCCTTCTCCACAGCGACGGGAGCAGATGCAGGTCGCTACCTGCAAACTTGCGCTCGCAATACTTGAAGATAACTGAGAGCGTTTTCGTGCCCCGCCTGGTCGCATTGGGCCTTAGGCCTTTGGGTTTCTTTGGGTTTAGGCTTGGCCTTTCTGCTACGGTCTGTCTTTTCTACTTGTGGTTTCGCCCCTGCGTAACCTCGTTTTCAATGCAGCTGGCGCTGCCGTGTGTCTGGGCGCACGTGTTGCGCTGCTTCCTGCCATGCACTGCCTTCCTTCGGGCTTAAGCGGGTTTTCTCCTCGCTGCTTCTTTGCCCCCCCGTTGGGTTTAGCTTGTAGCCCCTCTCCCCACGCACTGCCTCTAACCGCCTACGACGGCAGCCAAAGATAATCAGGCGATCAAAATTCACGACACGTACAAAGTCTCAAATGCGAAGAAGCTCTCGAAACCGTAGTATCCGCGACGCATCCTGACAATTGAGCTGGAGTGACTTGGAGAGTACAATCAGCATCCACATTGGGGTTTTAACATCTAATCATGTGTATTCTTGAAACCAGTGAGGCTTCTCAACCCACCGTGTGCAGGGCACGCAGTTTTTTCAGTGCAAGCCGCGAACACTCCAAAAATGCGTGTGTCGTTGCGGGAATAGCTAAAGTTTAACTAACTGTTGTTGGGCTGACATCACCCCGCCTGGGGTGATTTCACTCCCATGCTGTGTGCCGCAGGGCTTGGGGCGACTTTATGCCAGCTGGGGCGACTTAAACCTAGTGCTAGTGTTTACCTTTCATGACTGTAGTCTGTTTTTTGTTGATCCAGTTTTTGGTTTTGATCCCAGAAGAGTGGTGATTTGTGATCCTTTACTCACTCTGCTTAAATGGCCGCGGCTCAAAGCAATTTTGTTTCGACCAAGTTGTCGGTGTTGTGATTCTTGCAACATCCCTAAAGCCATGACGTTGACGGCAACTGAAGATGCAGGTGCTGTTGCTTGGGTGTTGACGTCAACTGCCTTGGTCTTTCTGATGACGGCAGGGCTTGGCTTCTTT